CCAATTTTACTGTTTACATTTGAAAAATGTGCAAATGTACAAATGATAATTGTATCACTGTTTTCATTAAATAAGCGTTTTTTCCCAAACCCAGTCATCATAATCGAGTACCACTTGGTTGCACATCGACAACCTGAAAAAAACATGAACTTGAACGATCACTTTTTCCGGGAAATAAGCAAACTACAATGTAGTAAAAAAAAAAGTTTAATTCCGTTAATTTTTTTTACCCAACTACTGCCCAGAGAGCTTTGAATTTGAGATTTCTGTGGGTGATTTACCACCAACTGACTGTAAAACATATCTGGTACCTCTCTATATGCAATTCGATAAACATCCGAAGTCCATCCTTTTTTACATATTCTGCACAAAAGATACTTTCTGCCCCGCCCCATTTATACAGAAAAAAAAACGGTGGGAAATCTTGTCAGGGGCGGGGCTTAGAAAGTATTTTTGTGCAGAATATGTAAAGAAGGAGGGCATCATAGAGAAAGAAGCTCTATCTACTATTTCCTATTGGGTTCTTTAAGGGTATTGAGGTAAAGGCATATTCGTAATCTACATTAAATATGGAACCGAAAACCGAAATTTGATCAAAATTGGAGCACTGGAACTATTTTAAATAAGTGCGATTACATTAGCAAATATCACCATCTTAGCGCCCCTCAGTGGGACTTCGTATGGGAGCAAGCTGCCAATTTGTTAGTTTAGTGTCAAACAGCGGTGTTAATACTTTGCTTTAAACTTAGATTTAAAAATCGAGATGAAAGTCTACGGTTTCGAAAAAAAATATTCATCGAAACTCTTTCAGATGGTGTATAAAAATCAACAAACTTTTTTTGAAATTAAAGAACCCAATTAGCGCATTAACTCAGGAATGCTTGTGTGGTTACGAGCCCGCGTTTCAATAAAATCCTATGTTGAGAATATTGTTCATTTTTTAGTATTTTTAGAAACTAGAAACTTAAACTTTTTCACCAAACACACATTTTTCATGTCCATATGTAATATTCATAGAAAAAACACGGCATACATTTAGACGAAGTGCGAAAATGACATGAATAGGTCCAACCAAAATCCATTAGATCTCTTATCGGAAGTGAATAATCACTGAGATTTTTTTTCTAATATAGTTTGCGGTAGTACACTATGTCTCTCAAAAATAATTACAGATAATATTCACTTCCAAAGAGATATACGTACTGTTTCAACTTGCACCGGTGTACCTTAACAATGATGTTTAATATCAAAACATTAAACAGGTTGAGAACCTGTAGACAAGCTTTTGCTCTGACTTTGAAATGCAATAGCTGAATCCTCTAATTTTCATTTAATGTTGTACTAAGCACCTACTTATTAGAAACCAAAGGTTTAATTTGAGAAAAGTCACAGTATTCTATTTTGCAATCATTCTACGAACACGCTGTAAAGTACATAATGATGATGCATGATAATGTTATGTTAGGGTTGTCCTCCAAATTGGAGAACAAAGAGGTGCTTAAACCCCTTTATGATCGTTATACCCCTTCCTCCCCTACTTCGTTGACATATGAACCAACATTTTGTTCAATATTTTAAGTACCGTCTTCTGACAGGTAAAACAACTGCCTGTTGCGTTATCATAAAATGCAATCTTCACTTTCTTCTCTGCTTCAGAAACCTAACTTAAAACTAATGATGGAGCTACTGAAAAAAATTAATGTATTTTTTGGCAATTGTTTTATCCCACAACATGCATGGCGTTTTTGTGTACTATACTGAGGTGCAAATTAACAAAAAAATGTGTGACGCAATAGTGTCAGATCCTATTGTAGTCGATGCTGATGTCAAATTTAGTGTACATTGATCACAGCAAAATAACTCAATATTGATCAACTCAAGGTAGGGGAAATTCTGTTAATTCTTAACCATTGCATTAAATTTAAATACATTATCTCATGCGTAAGATGAACCGTGGCCTGATTATGCTAACATGAATTGTCACGAGTTTTGAACCATAACCGAAACATTGAAAAACTTTAAAAAATTAAGATAAAGTATAATAATCAAAAATGCATGACATACCTACATCAATTTTGCGTAGTTCTACGTCATACTGCGGTCGTGTCTAGGACACAACCCTTTAATTTTTTTTTAATTCTCATGTGTTTTGAGGGATGTCGCTTGATGGCTTTTAGTCCAAGTCAAAAACTGACCACTTCTCCTGGGGTACCCGTAACGCGTCCGGATGTGTTTAGTGTGGTTCTGGGTACTTGATAGAGCCACCAGTGCACTTGTTTTCAAATTCATATGTAATTTGAGGTGTCGCATGTTGGGTTTCGGTTTAAGTTAGATGCTGGTCATTTCCCCTGGGGTATCCGGAACATATCTGGATGTGTCCACCCGAGCAAAGTCGGTTAACAAAATGAAAGCAAATCGATATGAAAGTTTGCAGTTCCTATCATAATGAATACTCATTTTGATTACAATTGTCACGACATTAGTCTGATATCATATTGTGCTTTCATTATGCAGTCAAGACATTTTAAATGAAAGCAACTTAACTTGAAGTTCTGCTGTTAACGTCTTGTTTAAAATTTAATTTAAGCTCATCTGTCGTTGAACTAACGATTTTTGTTTATTTGTTTTGTTTAACACATTTTAGGTCATTCGTAGCCAGCCCGAGGTGACATTTGAGCTCAAGTCTTTCAGCGTGAGAAGCTTGGATGCTAACCATTTACGCCAGGCCCGTATTCAGTCAAACATTATGAATGCAAAATCAGTAATCAAATTGATTTCATTGAAAGCAGGATTAGTTTTCCGTTTGATTCAACAGTGTAAAATTTAGCTCTCATTTTTGATGTGTTAACCGTTAAGTCAACCAAAATGAGATCAAATAGAGTATTCAAAATAACTTACATCATAACAGCAAATTCTGATTTCAATTTGATCTCTAACTTTGCTCGGGCAATGTGATCCTAGGCAGTGCTGCAAAATCTCGAAAATACACGGTGATATTCAAAATTTTGCTTTGGTCACTCATTTGAGCTAACAGTCATCGTCAAGGCAAGCCATGTCAATTGTCAGTGACAATGCTGTCAATGCTAAATTTATAACGACATAAAATGATTAAAAGACTTTCAATGATAATGACAAACCTCAACACTGGTCCTGGACACTTGATCAGAGGTGGCTACAGTACATTTTTGCAAAACCATCGTTCAGAGCAAAACAAAACAGCCAGCTGGCCGATCGTGTATTTCTTCATTACAAGCAAACGGCGGAGATAGAGAATAGGAAACATGTCGTAGCCCATTATTTTTCAAACAGTTGAAATTACATTTTAGCTGCAAGCTTCCATTGGAAATGCACATGATTTTCATCCATTATCAAAATCAATGGAATTCATCTGAATTTCACATAACATTTATGCGATCCCATTAAATTTATGTGATTTTGCAAATGAATTTCATTGGCCTCATAATATTCATGTGATTTTGTGGTGGGATTTGCTGCTATGTGATCACTGGAAAGTTATGTGAAATTCACATGGATTTCATCCATTAGATATGTGATAAATTTTTTGAGTGTATGCAATACACATCAAATAAATGCTATAATTAGCCAGAAAACAGCAAAATTCTACATGAAATAAATTTAAGTCTTGTCTGCTTCATTGTGCGAAAATGTGTTGTCGACTGCAGAAAACAGTTTAGAAATGTTATGACATTTTTTTCCGCTTGCCAGTTTATGTTTGTGCGTCTTCACTATACTGCCGCTCTTCGCATGTCGGTCCCATGGCAAAAATCAGCAAGCCGAGAAAATCGCATTTTTAGCTTGATTCGTACCATTGGTTCTTATGTGATGAGACAACCAATTTGGCTGTCTTTCCAAATTTTTTCAGAACAAAGTTATTGAGTTCATCCAGTATTAAGAAAATATGAGTGATCAGCTACCATTTGCATTATAAAACTCAGTTTTGACAAAAACTGCTATGGGACCGACATGCGAAGAGCGGCAGTATAGTCATTGCGCAAAGCATCAAATGTGAAGGAAAAACGTTAAACTCCAGTACTCGTGCCACCACTTCACTTGATACAAACACCAATGATCTTCTCTTTGAGTTCTCATATGATTTGACATATAACATGATGAGTTTAACACGATTCAGGCCGTTTCTAGACTCACGACCCGTATTCACCGGAACATGTTCCAGCCATATATCCGGAATCAGTTGACCGATTCCATAAATATTATCGTTCCCACTCAAAATGATGTACAAAAAGATACACCATCAGCGTTTCCTATGTGCATACCGTCCTGAAAAGCCTCTGAAAATCGCCCGCAAGCGAGCGAACAGACATCCAGTCGGTCAGATTCTCTCGCATGTGATCGTTCGCGAGCCTCAACCTTATTGCCTGTTTTGCTGTTGTTGTATGTACGCTCGATTATTTTTCTGGTTTCCTTCTATTTTCCTCAGCAGCTCCAGCTGCCCACACCCCACACGCCCCACACCGGCTGGTGCTGCTGTATGGTACTGTAAATATAGTGTGATGGAAGCAGAGCAAAATAGAGCTTTTTGCCTCCAGCTCGAATCCAGCCCGACCAGTTTAAGTCGGTACTTTGCCTTAGTCGCATGTTCACGGGTTTTTCTTCGTACCATCCGTTAAGAAGAATACGCGTACGTATTACACGTGAAAGTGATCTGCGACCGTTCGTTGTCTGTCGTGTGCGGTTGAAGATTCATGTTGACGGTTTATTTTCTCTCGAAAGTTCATCGAAGTCGATAATTATTTGAATTTAGTAGTGCGACCAAGTTGATTAGCTTGTTAGTGATGGTTTGTGGTTTCTGTAACAAACAAAAAGTTGTTCAGATGAAATATGATACCTGTATTCAAACCGGCGCCCGTTGGTGAATGTAATTTGCCAGGGAACCATAGGCTGTCTTCCACTGAAAAAGACGCAAATTCGTTTTAATAGTGATATTTTTTTTCTTAAACGAAGATCCACGTCTGAAACAAGTCAAGAGTGCCTTTAATGTTGACCGCAGCCAAATCTTTGCTTCTAATCGTTTGGCTGACCTCGGGATGAGTGAATGAGTCAACAGATGTAAATCAGTGAAAACCGAAGAAGCATAACAAAAAGTGTGGCCTAAATCATACGTCTAGGAATAAAAGTGAGGTTCCCAGTCAGAGTGAATGTGTTAGAAACGAAAGGAAAGTTTGCAAAGATTCCAACGACCGTCAATACCCCCCGTTACGTAAAGCATCCACCGTGTTGTACACAGTGCCAAGAAGCAGTAGCATAAAAGTTTCCTCTTTATTGACGTCTTTCTTCGTTTCTAATTCGTTGGATATGTACCGCTTCTATAAAGCTTTATGCCTTCAAAGACTTAGGAGGCAACAATAAAAAACAAGCGTTGAATTGCCAAGAAACCATACTCTTGGTCCATTCATCGCGAAATCTAAAACAACCTCTGCCATCACAGTTGAACAAGAGTAAAAGCCTAACGCAATACCTTCGGTTGTTTATTACAAACAATTACAACCAACATGCTGTCGTAACGAACCACCTCACAATCGGCGTTTGCTGCTCGCCTGCCAACTGCAGAATAAAAAAATAACATTATCTAGTCATAGGCAATTCACATTGGCGACTGAAATCGATACCACCCATCACGCGGCAATCATCCGTCAGAAAATGAGGGTCGGTGAGGATGATTTGTCCAGTCTGGAGTACATCGAGGATCCTTATATTCCCAAGCTCGACAATTGCATAACACCTTCTCTCGATGACATCACCGAGTACAATCCGGACGACCTAGGCGATGAACAGAACTGGCCAGAAGAAACCGAGTTCTACCTACGATCTCTCACACTGGACCAGATCCTGGGTGTCTCTTCCGACGAGGATATCGATCCGGAATTGGAAATGCAAACAGTGGAAACCGAATTCAGTCCCCTTCTGCATTCGGAGACATCTATGAATGGAACGACCTCAAATTCATCGAGCGAAAGCAGAACCGGCGTAGGGGTGATGAGAAGCATTCTGGCAAACAAACTGCTAAACGGTCGTACAAATAAGTTTAACTTGTTCAGTAAGAAACGGATACGGGACGTACGGGTGACGTTTATAGATTTTTCTAAACCTTACCTGGCGCGGATATCCAGTGGAGATAACTACAAAAGCTTTCTGAATATTGGGAGTGCTGTAGGTATGTAAAGCAATGTTTTTATTCATTAGCGGTGACATAAATTTAAAAAAAATTGTTGGTACACAGAAAATACAACAGCAGGGGAAGTGGGGCAAGATGGCCACCCTAAAGAATCTCGAATAAAATCCCACAGTGTTGACCAGAAAATAATTCTTTCTATAATCCTACGGAAGCTTCAAGGATTGACCTATATTCCTATGCTTTAAGAACAATCACACAAACTTGTTTAAATTCGATAAAAATTCAAAAGAAAATTTTAATTTTTCAGGTACAATTTTCTACTTATGGACGTGCCGGACGAATTCCTTGTTTATAAAACTTAATTACCGCACGTCGTAGTGGACTGGACTTCATTACGGCAATACACGTGAACCGATTCAAACGAAACTACAAGCGTTTGTTTATTATGTATCAAGGTCTCAATTGGCAGAAGTGTGCTCATTTCAGCATCTGTCAAATTCGAGCTATACACTGAGAGAAAAAACACGGATAATTTTTCCTCACTAAATATGGCCCTTTTCTATGGTTACCCCTTAAATTTATGTTTTAATTATTAACTTTTTACATAATAACCTATGGTTATTATTCTGCGATGCCAAATCTATATCTTCCCTAAAGCAGTATGGCTAGTGATTTTTCACTGGACACCTGGTCATATGACCTCCTTCTGTGCTTGATAACGTAAAGAAAAATGAAAACGAACGAAGTAACCAACGAGCCCGCTAATTCGCCCTTTGCAATACATGGCTAATATAAGTGTTCTGTGCTTTATATTAGTCGTATAGCAGCCTTATATTGCAAAAAGCCGTATTAGCCGGTTACTTGGAAGGTCTAATTAAGCTGTTAAACATATCTCTATTTTACATGCGTAAACTATTTCATAGTGCAATTATTACGGTTTCACACTTTACTTCAAACAAATAGCTAAATGATGACCAAAAGATTGAACAACAATGTCTTCATCTTATATCGAAACTGAAGAGCAAAACTAATCGATAACCATGCGGATCCAACAAATTTTTCCGATGGACCACAACCGGTACATGAATTGCACCACTCCAACAAATAAGTCGATGATCGAATTTCACAAATACTCTTCTGATTGCTCAAAAGCGAATTAACTATTTGGACATCGCGAAAAGAAGACAATAGTACATAATAATAAAAGCTAGTGCCAGACTTGTTGAAAGTGTCGTTCACAACACTGTTCGCACTTCCGCAGCAATGAATGGCCGTGGCTCTTACTTTGTGCCTCCTTTCCAAGAAAGAAACGATCCACACCAGACTGCGCTACGCTGCGAAATTCCTGAAAGCCACTTGCACAGAACGAATGTCATATTTCATGGTCATGGAGCTTTCGCTTTCATGAAAAGCCGCATATTTTTGGTTGACTGTTTTTTTTTCGATGAAGAAGAAACAATATTTTCGATTTCGATTCGTCGGCACAGGTAGGAGGAAGGTACTTGCTAACTTTTTGATTTCCCTTTAGTATCGTTGCGTTATTGACTCTATCGTGTCTTATATACGGTTTCCATTCAACAAGTGTTTATCGATCAAGCTATATCAAACAGTTGATGTCAATGTGAATGTTAATTTATTGAATAGGAATTATAAATTAATAGAGGTTAAGGCAAAATGTTCACACGAGCATAATTTTCAATGGATTAAATGAATCAATCTATTTACGCTGAGTTGCCATAAATTCCATTTTTTTGGCAAATACAGGGCTGTTACAAATGGCGCGGATTTCGTGATTTGTCGTGGATTTGTCGTGGATTAAATGATGTCGCGAAGAGACTGAGATGCTATCACGAAAATTATGGAATTCATTTTAAGGGCGCGAATTGTTTATGGTAATTTTTAGGAAAATATATCACGATTTCCCTTGCTCGAGATTCAATATTAGCTTGAGTTTATGCGCCGATTTAAAAAAAAGGCATGCTATATTATACGTAGAACCCCCCCCCCCCTTTCTCTTCTAAGGGGTTACCCCTACCTTCACATGCCAAATTTGGTTCCTGTTGCTTGATTAGTTTTCGAGTTATGCAGAAATTTCTGTTTCAATTTGTATGGGAGCCCCCCCCCCCTTACAGAGGGGAGGGGGTCTCGAACCATCGTAAGAACCTCTCCCGGCCCCAAAAACCCCTGCACACAAATTTTCTTCTCCCTCCATGTCCGGAATATTTAATTTTAAATAAAATGCCCTGAACCTTGAGGATTTTTCTAAATCTAGGATCATGTGATTTTCTAAGCATGAAATCTTAAAAAAATCTGTGCCTCAGGATTTCCATATTTTTTTGCAAACCTTGAATCTTGATCCTTTTTCGGCTTTACTTCCCTTCCGAAGGAGACGTGACCAGAGATTTTTATGCCTCAGAAAAACCCCACCGACCTCGGCTGGGATTGAACCCTGACCCATATTCCCGGCATATTCATAGTCTGGCGGATAGAATCTCGGGAACCAATCAAGTAAACCACGACCAACAACAGAAAAGAGCACATCAGCTATTGCGAACAAAACTTCGGAAACCGGTTCGCCAACGCAAACTAACACCATCTTTGGGTTGGGGAAAGTTTCTCCTATCCGATGATGCTGGTAATTAAACTTCGATTGGCGAGGAAAGATTAATCAACCCTTTGTTTATAAAAGTTGATAGTACCTTTTCAATTATTGGTCTACAATATATTGAATAAGTTCCGTTTATTGATAGATTAAAATTCTATCCGTCAGGCTATAAATATAGCGACTATAGTACAAACGATACCACATTAGATCAGTCGGTAAAGGCGCAGCTACGTAGCAACTTCATGCTGGGTGGTTCAATTCTCCTCCGGTGTATTAATTTTTCGGGTTGGAAAATGTCTCAACTTCCTTAGGCAGGCATAAAAAGTTCTCAATTGAAATGTGGAAGTGCTTCAAAGAACACTAAGTTGAGAGCAGGCAAAACGTTAATAGGCTTGAAATGCAATTCAAATGGTATTTTTTAGCAATGAAAACAGTTTTTTATTTATCGGGGATTAGTATTTGATGTCGCGGATTTCGCGGATCAAATTTTGAAAATCTGGTAGCAGCCCTAAGCTACATATTACCGTTGTAAATGTTTGTAGTTTTATCTAGAGAGGGTTAATCCAGGAAGATCGCATCCAGTAGATTATCTCATACTCTCTCTTCGATTCTACCCACCCCACAGTGGGACGAAATAAAAAAAGTGGGACATGACTAAATATTTGCGGGGATGCTCAATTTTTTTTTCAAATAAAGTACCTCGATGTGTTTGTTACGTTTTGCATGACCATATTTCCAAGTTTGTACAGGGTGAAAGGTAATTCCTGTCAGTAAAGTATATGGTCATAAAACTGAAAAGATGATGTTAAATTTAATTTTCAGTGTATTTCCTGTTTCGTGTATCTATAACATTTGTCTTAACTTAGTCCAATTCCAATCTTTCTCCCTTTCCTTTAATTACGAGCCGCATCCGTTTTTGAAAATCGTTACAGCTGGCACGCACGATATCTTGAGGCATTTCATCCCATATTTTCACCAAACGTTGCTTAAAAGTTTCCACGGTTAGTCCCTTGGTATTCCCTAGTTCGCCTAATATGTAACCCCATGCAAAGAAGTCGAGAGGATTCAAATCGGGTGAGGAGGCAGGCCACTCTTTCGACGAAATGAAATCCGGGAAATTGACCTCACACCAAGCCTGTGTAACTTTTGTCTGATGGGACGGTGCAGAGTCGTGTTGGAAGCAGTCTGGTGCCTTCTTATAATGTTTTTGGACGAAGGGAAACAAGTGGTTCTTCAAAACATTACCCGAGCAAAGTCGGTTAACAAAATGAAAGCAAATCGATATTAAAGTGTGCAGTTGCTATCATAATGAAAACTCATATTGATTTCAAATGTTGCGACATAAGTCTGATATCATATTGTGCTTTCATTATGCAGTCAAAACTTTTTAAATGAAAGCAACTTAACTTGAAGTTCTGCTGTTTACGTCTTGTTTAAAATTTAATTGAAATTCATCTGTCGTTGAACTAATGATTATTGTTTATTTGATTTGTTTAACACATTTTAGGTCATTCGTGACTTGCCCGGGGTGAGATTGGAGCCCAAGTCTTTCAGCTTGAGAAGCATGAATGGTAACCATTTACTCCAGGCCCTTATTCAGTTGAACATTATGAATGCAAAATCAGTAAACAAATTGATTTCATTGAAAGCAGGATTACTTTTCCGTTTGCTTCAACATCTCATTTTTGCTGTGTTAACCGTTAAGTCAACCAAAATGAGATCAACTGGAGTATTCAAAATAAGTTACATCATAACAGCAAATTTTGATTTCAATTTGATCTTCAACTTTGCTCGGGTATCGATACTGTTGATTTTAACACCAGGTTCAATGAACAGCAATGGAACTTTCAATGTTTTGGAGAAACATCCCCAAACCATCACCCTGGAAACATTCTGGAACGTTTGAACAGCCAGTTTGTCACGAGGAATATCAGCAAGATATGCAGCATATACCCGATCATTTTGCTGGTTGTGGTGATCCTGTAGCAGGAACATTTTCTCATCCGAAAACAGAATTTCGCAATCACCGTGCCGTTTGAGCAGTTTCCGACATCTTTCGACTCTAGCTATCTTTTGCTTTTCGGTCAAACCATGCACCCGCTGTTTTTTGTAAGCATTCAATCCGAGATCATCTTTCAAAATACTCCTGATCGTTGGCTGCGACATTCCGAGTTCTTTGGCCATCTTACTCCCAGACTTACAAGGATTCCGCCGGATTCGCTCTCTCACTCGTTTGATAACTTCCGGAGTCCTGACACTGCGTTTTCGGCCTGGTCTGGGAGGGATTTTCCACGAATCGGTTTCCTTGTACCGTTTAATGGTGCGAAAGATGAATCTTTCGTTTATTCCGAGTGGTTTCAACGTCTTCAAAATAGAACACGGTGTAACAAGTGTAAGCGTTGCGTCCAAGATTGGTAAGATTAATCGCGTATAGTTTTCGTATATTTAGTTATTAAATTCCATGAAAAAGTTTAAATGTTCGTAAAAGGTAAAACGTCCCAGAATCCTCACGAACGCAGCCAGTAGGAGACACTTTCCTATAAACTGTAGAACAATGCCACTAGCCACCACCAGAGCACGCTGTGTGCAGTCATGAATGGACGTCCATAGGGGTGCCGTAATCGGGCCATTGCGTGGAGAATTCGTGGCACGTACGACGGTTCAACGGTCACGGTTCGGGGTCATCGTCCACCAAGAGGCACAGTCATAAGCCTGGTGATCGTTATAGACTACGGTCACATAGCGAAAGTCAAAGCTAAAAATTAATACTTTGAAGATGAAAACTAAAGCTAAAGTGAGCTAAGTTGGAAGTTTGAAGAAGTTGTAGAGGAAGTTGCCACATACCATTGGACAGCCAGGTAATTACCATCGCCAAGAAAACCCCGAACCAGATCCAACCGTTGTCAGGACGATAACTGCCATTTCGAATTATCCTTCGCGCCCACAGGACCTCGCGGTTTTACCGCAACGCCAGTGAACTCAACGTATTTTTCCGGAGTCGACCACGCCAATCGCCGATAGTGTGTCCGAATCGCAGTTCGAGAATCTGATCCCTCAGCTACAGTGTGCGCAACCAATCCAGGCAAGTCAACTTACCCTTGTGGTTCGTTGAACCCTCGAGTCCGTCACCATACTCGAGGGGCGCACGGGACAGGTAGAGGCGTACACCCCTGGCCCAAGAAGGTGATGCGGTACCAGAGGAAGGAGAGGAACGACGACGGCAGTGGCAGGTGAAGGGGCCCCGAAGACAAAGAAGAGTAGTGCTAGCACAAGGTAGGAGTAGACATCTAAGGAAGCGGGAGACCGTCCGTGAAGTGAGTGTCGTCAAAACGAATAAAGTGGGAGTTTGTCTTAAGTGAACTTAGAGTGTTTTCTTGGTTCGCGGAATAATCACGAGCGTGTGTCGACCCTGAGGCTTGGAGACGGGGGTCTCATCAGTGCTGGGAGTAACACCGCACTGGCACGTTACAACGGTTCCCTTTTCGTGTCCATGATTATCACGAGTATCAAACGAATGAAAAATCAAAACAAACTTGCATGCCGTGTTGACATTTGAACACACTCTAAAAGAAAAATATGCAGATATGTATGTGATTAACCAATTTGATACTACAATTGCTCTAAAAAACACTGACAGAAATTACCTTTCACCCTGTACATTAGGGTGGATCAAGTTTGTATGGTGTGTTTAAATCCCCTGTTCCCTATTGCTCATTCGATGCGTATTGAGCTCCCTAACAACTGTGCAAAATTTGAACGATAGATGATTATCGATTTTAATGAGACATAAACAAGTATTTTTATCGGAGTGTTTACCCCCCTTTAGCTAAAATTATCACTAGTCAAATAAATAACTCGACAAATGAAGAAACACTCAATACTTTCGTCGCAAAAAGCCATGTTCCACTTGCCTGTACGAAATCAATCACATAGTCCAGCTGCTGATGCGCGGCAATGAATGTAAATTTTCGGAATGTTTTCTTAAAAATGATTATTAATGTTAAAAATGTTATCAATATTAATACACCAATCGATTCTTTATTATTTTATGAATATAATGAATATAAAATCTTGTGAAGAAAACATATTTATACAGCCGAAACCGTCGTGCAAACATGGTACTCGCCGATTGAGAAGCGATTTCTAAGTTACGATTTCAGTGTTATTTGATACCCATTCTTTTTCGAAGTGACTATATCGAAAACCTCCCTTAGCTCAGTCGGTAAAGGCACAGCTACAAAGCAAGACCATGCTGGAGGTGGCTGGGTTCAACTCCCGGTCCGGTCTAGGAATTTTTCGGGTTGGAAAATTTCTCGACTTCCCTGGGCATAGAGTATGATTGGACTTGCCACACAATTAAACCAATGCAAAAATGGTACAGGCATCGAAAGCTAACAATTAATAACTGTGGAAGTGCATCTAGAACACTAAGTTGAGAGCACGCAATAAGCTAAAATGCGATATGCAATAAGCTTGAAATGCGAAGAAGAAGAAAGAAGATATCGAAAACAAATTTTTACATGTAAATTTTCTTCAAAATCTTAGGAACAATGTGTTTTTTTTTAGATTTTCCAAATTCCTGTTTATTATTTTTAGAAAAATCAAAACGCATACCAAGGTTGGATTCTACGGTCACGGTGGTAAGCTTCGCGATAAAGAGAATGAATTGTAGAGAATTAAAATTATCCTCAAACCCCATTTGGCATTCTCATCAAAATAAGCCGCTATGCTAAAATTTTATCGAAGTACAAGCTTCAGAATTTTTGTTTTTAATGTGAGATGATCTTGAAAATTACGAAATTTAAGAAAATGAAAAACTTACCTACTATGGGAATCTCGAAAATTTCACATTCAAATTTCTTAGTTTGAAGTGATATTTCGTTTGTTTTTCTAAAAATTTAATCTTAAGATCTAAAGTTCAGACTATCACTTTATAACAATCGGTTATAATTTTTTAATTGATGTGATTGTTAGGTTTGTTGTCTTTTGTAATTTTCCGGTATTCCTTTTTGTTTAACATATTTTGCAGTTAATATACACAGGCGAACCAGACAAACGCTGAAAGCCTCTTTAATAAAGAAAATTAACTAACTAACTACAGTTAATATGAAAACCGTGAAGTAATGTTGAACATCCGGAAAAATCCGGGAATTTAATTTCTTAAATCCAGTGGCCACCCTGAAGAGAGCTCATTGCAAGACAGCCTATATAACGTGATACCAGCTATACGTATTAGACTCCATTTACTCCCTGACGAGTAAAGGTATTGCCGAAGTCGTAATTTGCCGTAAATGATTTCATCGTATCTTATTTATATTGAAATTACCAAGTGATCGTTTTTGTTCCACTCATTTAAGTATGCCTAAAACAACGAGAAACTCCATCAAATTTGACAAGCGATGAACGGGCAACTGCCTGATGATCAGCTGGCCGCACTTTTTTTTGTTCCATCGAAACAGCTGAGAACTTCCAATTTAGCGTGGTAAAAGTTGAAACAGATTACCGCCATCGATGAGCGTCATAATAAGCTTGCAAAGCACGTTGTTTCCGAATTGGAGCTAATGCAAACGCCTATTTTGTACGTGAGTACAACTCATTAAGCGTCGGCCTCCTATCGAGTACCTACCAACAAGAGGAACACACAACGCTTCCGCTTGGGTATTGAATCGTCTTTCAGTCAGCATTGAAATTCCTTGTCAGTCCACGCGTGTTGTAAGCACTAGTAAACTTTAATACTAACACAGATCACCTGTTGCAAAAAAGCTACTTGTTCGGACTTTTTTCCTTCATTTTGCTCACTTTGTTTCCACAGTCTGTTTGTGGCGGGCACAAGAACCCATGCGGAACGAAATGTGGCTCTATAGGTATGTGGCCTCAACGCGTTGCTTTAATGCCATTTCTTCGATTGTATTATTTATGAACCTCGAATGCTACAATTAATGTGATTAATAACAGATACATACCGATAGAAACAAACAATGCAGCGCATTTTCGCGCACATTTGACTTAATGCTTAGCTAACGGATTTTTTTTTCTTCATAAAATTACAGACAATTCGGGAAAATTGTCCGATGCATCTCCCGTCGGGTCGGTGACCTCAGCTGAAATCGCTCATGAATTCTCGGGACTTACGGTCGAAGAACAGGAGGCGCAGCGCGCCGAATGGAGCCAGGTATGTAAAATACTGACTGTAAAATTTCTGAATATTCATCTTAATGGGCAGGATTAGTCGTGCACCAACATTACCGTGATATCCCACTCAGGAGTATTATCCTGCCTGTGTTGTTTTCTAGTAAGAGGAGCGGAATAAATTAAATATTTGTAGGATTATTTGAGAAACTTTTGTGTATATTTATTTTAGAAGATAGCGGCTAATATTTCAAAGAAAGGGGGATCTGCTCGGAAAACTCCTTTCCATGTTCCACAATATCCAATGTCTCATAAACTTGTATTAGAATCTGGAAAATATCTTGAAGTCTGGGATTTTTTGTTTTCTTACACTCTATTTCAATTCTACTCTGCGACTGAATAGAATTTGATTGCCCTCTCTTTTCTCTCACAGACATTTTACTCAGTAGCAGTTCAAAAGGGAATTTACTCAGTAAGTCACTGAGTAAAATTTCGTGCGAGAAAAAAATAGGGCAATATAATTCTGCTCAGTCACTGAGTGTAGTGCAATAGGGTAGAAATCCACCGACAAACCGACATAAATGATCATACAAATTACAAAAAAATAAAAAAAAAAAATAAAATTATCCTAGCCACGAACACGCGTACAAAAATTATGAGTGGGTTCGGTCTATTTCGAACAAATTAATTTTATCTAGATAAAACATTCCTATGGTTTTAACAGATGGGATCGCTGCACATTTGAATGGGCCGTTATGGATTCTGGATCAAGAGTTAAGTTTAAGTTTCATGTCGGTTAGTCAGTGAGAACACTACTTCGGCATAAGCGTCTATTTCCGTCATATCGAAAAGAAAACATCAAAACTATCTATGATTTCACCGTGTATCAACAGTACATTTGTTCCGATACTTCAGTGCTAAACACCAATGCTAAAGGTATAAGAACGCATGGTATAAGGATAGTTCAAACCAAGTTTTATCAAAAGAAAAAGAAAAACATTTCAAGCTAAACAATTATTTCTACCTTCATTCGTAAACCGAAAAAATCCAGTGACGTTTCAATGAGTTATGACGGAATTGAAACTTGTTTGACCGTTTTAGAAAAAAGTAGGGGAAAGTGGGGGAATATGGCCACCCGCTTTAAAATTAACTTATTGAACATATTTTACAATCTGTTGCAGGCTTAATGCTTGAAGCCTACTTCTACTATCCATTTCATATACTGCCGTTATACGCATAACTGTCCCATGTTCTATGTATTCCTTATGGACCATGGGACAATTATGCGTAAGACGGCAGTATAAGTCTAAAAAATACTTTTCTCTAGAGCAAATATTCGAAAAATCTGGATCAACAATAGAAAAGGGCCCATAAGCATTTGTAAACAAACCGTTCTAAAGCCCTTTTCTCACAAATCGAAGGCCGCCCACACAAACCAACACCATCATCGTGTAGGTGGAAGTTTCCCCTGTCCGATGATGGTGTTGGTTTGCGTGGGTGGTCTTCGCTTTGTGAGTAAAGGACTGTGATGGGCCCTTTTCTATTGTTGATCCAGAAATGTTAGACTAGCTCAAAATGTCAAAACTGTTATAAGATTTCTGAATGAGAAAAAAGGACGACTAGCAGTAGTTTCTTATAACTTATCGTTGATATTCTTTAACCAGCTTTATAAATGGTCATTGATTTCTTCTATGACACGATGTTTTTTTTTCTAGATTTGAATAAACATCAAAGATTTTCTTAACAACATGTTACTTAAGTTCATTCCAGGAAATATGATATTTCAAGTTAAATTTTTATATTTTGCATTATTTCTTTCATAAATATGACTGTATCATATGAAACCACGTTTTGAAACAGATGCTTTAGTAAAAAAAACAGCCGGTGGCCAGCCACCACAGCCAGAGAATCGTGTAACAAAGACGTGCTCACTAGGCTGGCTCTAAACTCAGATCCTCTATTTTCTTCATGTAAATTTCCGTTTTTGACTAGGAATGAGACAAACATCACATAAGAAATCCAAGCCATTCTTAAGGTGTTTCCTTGTAGAGTCCATTTTCCATCACACCTCGCAATTCCAAGAGCACACAACTTAAGATCTACGAGGTTTATACATCTGAAAATTTCAGACATTGCTTGCTTCTCCGCAGCAAACAACAAGTAGTAGTTTCAGCTAGGTGCATTCACAGAAACCTTATTATTTTTACATGTGAAATTGCGAAGTGTAACACGAAATAAGACGCTACAGGGAATCACCTTTGGATCTTTGGAAATGTTCTTGAAAGCTGAGCCTACAGTTGATATTTTTATACAGTCTCTAATTCGGATTATCGGATATCATTTTTATTATTATTTTGTACGAATATAAAACACTCCCTCCCCTCCTCCAGGTTGACGTATGCTGGCGGTCGGACGTACGTTGGTGTCTCTGCTTGAGTGTCGTGTATTTAACCGTAGTGCTTCATTATTTTGAAATTATTTTAGTCAGCGTATGTTCCTGGCAAGCATGACAACCGTGGAAAGTGATTTAAATCCAAAATCCGCGATTGTTGATAGCATTAGAGTTTATTTAGTTGCGATTTTGAGTGCTTATCGGCGTGGCTCGAACATGGAAGCTTTCCGCCTGATGATAGTGTTAGTGTGTTTATTTAAAAGTTGTGCTACGATACAATCGGTTTTCTCCTCCTTGTTGTGTGCGTTTGTGTTGCAAAACAAAGCAACGGTCTTCGGTGTGATTGTGTTCGTATAAGAAAAATATTAGTGAGTGTGTAGTGCTGCCGTACAAATCTGGAAGAGCGGGCGATAGTTAGCTGGCGAGACGGCGATGTTATCATCTTAGGCGTGCTGTGGCATATGCTGACAGCAACGTTCAACTTCATGTGCGAAAAAAAAACATCACGATGGCGATAAGTGGCATGGTGGAGAACTTGGTGAGAATGTTCCATTACAACTATGTTTTTTGATTTGCTGTTTTTTTTTTAAATATTAGGTATCGACGTTTCCCTTCTGGTTGCCCGATTTTTTGTTCAACCTCTTGTTTTTTCGCTTTACATACAATGTAACTTTATTGTTCCCAGCATCCATTAATTACGTCACAATTTGATTATTATAAATAAACTTTCCCTTCTCATTTTCACTACGCTTTTCCTATAACATGGGTTGTTTGTCACAGATTTCTAGAACCCCCATCGACTCTTCTTAAAGCGTGACGTACTGAATGGATGGCCCCTTTTGATGCTGCTCGGCCTAGAAATTTTTCCTGTTTGTGTATGTTTCTTTCCCCATGACGATGTAAATGTAGTTGTCTCGTGTTGCTTTTGACTCATGACGTAGAGGAGAACGAGCGGTGTGAAACTGGTCGTCCCTTTCTTTTGCTCGTGTTTGTTTGGTACAACGTGGTGGACGAACTATTCAGTGTTTGAAACGAATTAGATTCTTCCTCTTAGCATAAACTTTTATGCGAGTTTTTATGTGCGTGGTGCTCCAGAGCTGCAGTGTACGGGAGCTTTTTTTAACAAGTGTTAGCAGAATGACCGACGGTGCTTATAAGAGCTAGATGAATGATTTTCCATTTCCCTAATAATTATTTAAATCACTTTTGTCCAGATAGTATTTATTTATTATTTATAGGTTGTGGACCAGGTTTTTGTTTTGGTACTTCACATTGTAATCAAACGGAATACATCATTGTTTAACATCAATATTTCTCATTTTGTTTCAGTCAAATTAGAAATCCGTTAGCCCACAATGCCAAATGATTGAATTAATATTATACAACATACTGAACAATATTACACAAAAAGCATTATTTACTATTGGCCTAGCTTAGCTGTAAATATGTTGATTTCTTGAATACAATTTTTCAGTTCAACATACCTGCATACATTTGTCAAATTAATTTTATTTGTCATTACCTTGATTATTCGTTCAACTATTAATTTAAATTTTATTAGGTAGTCGCGAGGGACGTCAAGTGATCTTATGCCCGCCTTAATTGAAGACACCAACGTGTTTGAGGTATATCCCGGATTCCATGGTCTCTACAAGGTTGTCTGTTGAAAATTATACTTATGTATTAATTTGTTTAAAATCAATGTTTCTCCAAAGTTGCAGACAACAAATTATTGTTATGAAATTTCATTCCTTAACAATAAATGTTATTTTATATAGGCTAAAATGATGATATGTTCTTTTTTTATTTTATTTTTACATAATTTTTCAGTACAACAAACCTGAATATATTTTTCATTTTGATGTTTAAGTTTTTTTTCATTGTTAGAATAAAGTTAATGATTCGGTAGGATCCTTGTGATTTTAAAACATTAATGCATTGCTATCAACATAAAAACATTTCAAACAAATACTAATTAATACACTATTGTATCATAATTATATTAACGGATCTTCTCACAGTATCAGCACATTGAACCCCTAGTGGCTTTAGATGGGATTGATTACAAGTCTTCAGAAGTAAGTGCCAATCTTTATTCCATATTGAAATTTGGGTAAATAGAGAATGTTTTTGATTATTTCATTATTCTTTTTCAATCGTTGTTACAATGTGATCTTTTATTAAAATTATATGTTCGATCAGACTGCATATTATTATTATTATTATTATTTCATCTCATTATATTATGCTTCATTTTTAATTACAAATTATGTTCGTTCATCACATTATGTATTGTTTAATAGTATTGTACTATGTGTAAATGTTATTACAGACTTCATGTTATATTCTATTATTATACATGCTTATTTATTTATTTTACTATTATTCCTTACTCCTTCTTTTCATATGAAATTGTGTTATGTAATATTAATTTTATTTCATCCGTTGATGGTTTATTGCATCATGGCATTAGTTTTCAAATTATGTGATATTAGCTTTTTATATTCAATTCATGGTAAAGCACTTTAGATCATCCAGGGCATCTGTAGGAGGGATTCCGTTTTCTAGTTATCGGATTCCAATAATTAAAATTTTGATATTCAATGACAGCTGAATGATTTTATTTTTTTTTTTTTATTTCAGAATTAACCTAACTGCAATATATAGATAAATACATTTGTTTGATATTATTGCTCATATACTGTCTGCGGCTGTGGAATAGTTCTAGCGACGTTTCATCACTACCTGCAGCCCCGCATTGCCAAAAGCATTCCAGTCGATGGTGTGTTATAATGCAATTCTTCTTTACCCAACTATTGTATTGCTCCTCTCAAACGTCAATTGATTGCATGTTAATGCAATTATGTGTTAATTTTCCATCCGCTGATCCGAGTTTTTCCAAACACTGATCTTGATATGTGTTTTTCAGCCTTTTTTTTTCAACTTTTTCAACTTTTTTCAGCTCTTCAAAGGAGAAACATCTTTAGATTTGTATTGTAATAATTTATTTTTTCAGCATTCGTTCAGGTTAATTCAAGAATAGTCTAATGCATCGTACTTTGACGCGAAGCGCTGTGCATTATGAGATGCTCGATGACCCTGGAGGGATCGTTTTTGCTTACTGAGCAGAAAATCATGGGTTCAATCCCAAGCTCTCCGTCATGACTCTTAAAATTCATGATCACTAAACAAAATAAATATGTTCTTTCGATAGCCGGCTATGTGTTGCTTGATAACAATGCATTTAAAAGATGAGAGAAGGTAGGCACCATTTTATTGTTCACTTTATTGTATTTTATTACTCATCGAAATTAAAATTAAGCAGATAAGGCAGAGGAAGCAACAACAATACTTAACATTATATGCTTATAATTATTATACAGGTACCAACGACCAATGATTTATAAATAACAAAACTTGTTTATTTTTTTATATTTTGTATTTCACTACATATATTATATAAATTATACATTGCATGATATACTATTACTATCAGCTTAATATTTCAGTTTACCCAAGCAAGTCATCGAAATTAATATGAAGCTGATGAAGCAGAGAAAATAACAACATTAAATAATATTATATGTATATAATTATTAAGCAGGTTATTCTCGTCATGTTAGTTATTTATCACAATTTTTAGCATTATTGTTAGTATCATTTGGGCAAAATATATTTAATTGCTTAATATATCCTATACATTTCAGTGTTGCATCCACTTACCATTGTGAGCTGAGGAGGTATAGAGCTGCATCTTATTATAAGTAAAATACTTCTTCATTGCAGTAGCAACTCTATTATCCATATAAATGTATTTCATTATGTAATATTTTAATGTTCTGATATATTTCATTTCTCCATTGCATATATTTTCATTATATAAATAAATACTGGGTTGGGAGGGAGCATCAGGGTATCATTCAAACTGAAACTGGACAATGGTATGATTGACAGCCGGAGTCTAGGAGGGAATAAACACTATCATTTTCTTTATCCTACCGATTCGATTATGGTGGTGTGAATTCTACTCCAACAGTTTCAGGGCGATTGACGCGCCCTTCTTAACAAACCATCCAGTAGGAAGCTTAATAAGTATTGCGAATTGTGTTATTCGATTTGTTGGAGCGTACCGTTGGAAGGAGATTCTTAAATTCCCGTGGATTTCGCGTAAGTGTCTCTGCTTACGGGTCCGCCCTTCCGTTTTTGGCCCTTCATACAGCGATATTGTGAATTCAGATCGGTAGCTCAAATTGATCTTGCTATTAAGTGGAGCTGCATCCAAGACAAGTCTTGAAAGGATGGTGGCTACCTTACATACATACATACATACAATATAAAACACTCCCTCCCCTTGACTAGTTTTTAACCTGGACGTTGGTAGGCGGGCCTAATCTTATGCTTCATAGTGAAGCGTTGGAGACGGTTGGTTTAGGTCCGGCATAGTTGGCTCATTCCGTGACAGAATAGCGTCATGAGCATGCGATGAGGATTACTGAGCTTCGCCTCTCTGATGAACCTCTGCATGAGAAAACCATAGATCTAGTCTAGCAGTGATCCCGAGCAAAGTTAGAGATTAAATTGAAATCAGAATTTGCTGTTATGATGTAACTATTTTGAATACTCCATTTGATTTCATTTTGGTTGACTTGACGGTTAACACAGCAAAAATGAGAGCAACATTTTACACTGTTGAATCAAACGGAAAACAGGGCCTGACACCAACCCCCTAACTTTCCGGAGGACCAGGGTGCACAGTTGTGCTTAGAGTCCTTCACTGGCACTCGGACGTAGATCAGCCGCCCCTAACATGGGGAACAGACGCTGTTGTGAGCCGCTCCTCCTGGAGAACAGACGCTCAGGCTTGCCGAAGCAACCCCCCCCCCCCCCTCCCTGTCAGCCTATCACCAAAGTTCCAACCGGGGTTGGTTACCCGATCTTCCCTAAGGTTGCTCACAGTTCTCGGCCGGTACCACGGGGAGGTAGGGATAGGAGTTGCTGCGAAGAGGCTACACTGAGGAAATAATTCGTAGGAATTTCATACGAAATGTTTATGGAATTTAACCAAAAGAATTTATTTTGAATTTCATACGATAGTGTCGTATGAAAATGATACGTTATGAGTATGAAATTTACGTATGAATTAGAAACGAGAGGAATACGAAAAGCGTATTTATCTCTCAATACAACCCAACTTTAACATACGCTAGTAATTTCGGCTCGTACGCCATATTGTTTTGTTTTGAACAGCGTTTCATACGAACGACGTATGATTTTTTTTTTCACACAAGATCAACTCATAAAGTTCATTGCAGCCTCGTATGAAATTTAGACTCATTTCGTATGGGAATCATTTTTGAGTCATGTAATTTTCATACGCATGCTATGAATAACATACGTGTCGTATGAAACTATTTCCAGAGCTCAAAATGCTTGTTCATACGAAACATATTATGAAAATCGTAATTCTAGTTTCCTCAGTGTAGTGATCTCAATGGGATCTGTATTGCGCATTACCCAGCATTTACCGAGCCTTTTCATATATTGTCTATTTATATTGATGTTTGCTTTAAAATATCAATTTGGTATATTATGTGAAAGGATGAATCAGTGGGAGATAGATTTTTGGTTTCTTCACATTTTACGGCACAAATCTAGCACTAAGGTGTCATTTCCTCAAATCCCCCCAAAATTGACCTCTTCAATTCCTTACTCTCGGCTTTGGATTGGCTTGCGCTCCCATTGCCCCAGCAAACGCTTCAAAATGAAAATGAAAGCCAAAAGTACTTGAAACACGTTAAATTTTAGTTTACAAGCATGGTTATGATTGGGTAGGTAGATTAGAGATTTCAGATATATATTAAATAAGACTAAATAATCATCAAATGAACTTCAATAAGAAGATTCAGAAAGTCAATTAACATAAGAAATAAGACGCTTAGCGAGGCAACTAGCAACTGAAATTAGTCATGACAGAGTAACAGAACAAGTTTAAAGACAGATGGGAAGGACAATAGACACAAGTTGACACAATACACAAGACAAGTTGGGGTTAATACACAAGACAAAATGACAAAATAAGTGACGACAGAAGACAAGACTGGAACAAAAATCAACCTTTAAAAAAACAAGAATGCGCAATTATATTATCAAAACTATTTGGATCAATACAAAAACAACAGTGACCAAACGGGCACCATAGCCTAGGAACGTATGTGTGTTGATTTAAAATAGAGGCTCATAGAAGCAAAATTTATCAATAAAAGGAGTCCAGTGTAGAGTTTAAGCAAGTGTATGCTGCCACTGTGATCACTACAAAAAAAAAGACATCGACCGTAAAACACTGTTGTTACTACACTGCAACTGTAGGGGGACTGGGGCTCGAGCCTCTGTATCGTGTGCTGACGACCTATAAAAGTTGCTGAACTATGTGCCACCTGTTCACCATCAATTTTATAAATCATACACACCACGCACTGAATAAACAAGCTCAAGATCATATTCCTCCAGACGATGACGACGTCAACGGAGCCAATGGAGTTGACGAGCTCTCGTATTACGATACGGTTGAATAGTCTGTATTGTATGATACTTAGGTAGATGTTATTTTAATAAAACAGGTTATAAAATATTTGCCGAACTGACATCATTACTTTGTTATAGTAAAAGGAGTGCAAGTGCATATCTTGGAAGGAAAGGGGTGTAAGTGAAAATGTGATTCTACAGAAGTTATTATATGCCTAAACTCGAAATTCTTATTCAAGGCTATAACAGAATAAAAGGTGTAGTAAATAAAACGAATTTTCTAGATGATATTGCCTTAGGTACATATCATTTTCTCTGAATTTACTTTTGGTCACTTATACTCCTTCCCTTCTTTCTAACCCCCTGAATTTTCAAAGAGTTTATTCTCAATCTAAATTCTAAAACTATCTTTTACCCACAGGAACTGGCACGGGTGGAGGAGGAAATCACTACTCTACGCACCGTGCTGCAATCCAAGATTCGACATTCGAGTGAACTGAAGCGTAAGCTGGGCATCACCGTTTGGAAGGAAATCACCGACGATATGAGCCAGGGTATCAAAAACGTCAAGGAGAGCAACGTGTAAGTGTACAACACCGTAGTTCAATGCCTGGTATCGATTTGCTATTGCCGTATTATCTATACAATAGTTTGTAGCACAATAACGACACGAAGTCAGCATATTCTCAAAAAAGAATGCGCCTCGAATGCGTGAGTGAGTAGGGCATAATAGGGAATTCATGTTGATACGAGTTTTTTCACGTTTCGATTTTCCTGTTTCGTTAATTAGTTGATTGTTATATCTTGTGATTTATAGTTATATTTTATGTTCGTTTTTTACCACGCATTATGTTTGGTTTTCTTTTCGTTTAAGTTATCAAACTGTCGAGACAAAAGTGGGCGAAATCACGACAGCAGTTACGAGTGCCCCAATGTAAGTATATTTCTAGGATCAACTGTGTTGGGTGTGTCGTGTCGTCTTTGCGAAATCCATCTATGTGGTATCTCTGACTCTGCTACCCTTCAGTTTCTATTTACAATCACCTGTTTGTTTCATTCACTCTCATTCACTTATATCTGGTCTACTTTATCCATCCTGTGTGGTTCTTTAATTAAACTACGTTCCTTTACTAACTCAAAACCGGGTTGTCCTATTGATAACGATATGCATTTTCCCTTGCCTGTTTATGTCTTTCTTGATACAAAACTCTCCGCGCTGGCTTCCGCTTTAAACGCATATAGAATAGCAAAGGGGTGAGTATTGTTAACGATCTGATTGGCCCAAGTTGACGAAAGTGCATGTGATTGTTCAAATTTCCAAATAAAGTTTCCACAATCCTCATCCCTTTATGTGTCTTATCACTACCGACAAGAATCATGCAGAATTTTCAAACATTTCGAACTATTACAGCTATCAGAAAACCGAAACGGCCATCAAGACAACGGCTGGTAGAACTACATCCGTCCTCGGTGGAATCACCAGCAAGATGACGCAGAAGATATCCGATATGAAGCAATCGGATTCGTTTCGATCATTCGAGGAGAGAGTAGGATCAGCCTACGAGAACGTTAGAGTAAGTCAAAGACTCATGATCTTGCTAGCAGCTCATGGAAATATTATCTTTACTTTATAGTCAAAAGTATCATCTCGGTCAAGCTCGGTGCAGAGCTTGTCGGATCTGCAGAATGACGAACGTCGCAGTTCGGTTACGACTCCAACGGCGATTCCGGAGGAGAAAAACGTTCCTTAATAGCCTACAGGTCGGGAAGGAACACAACAGTAGCAAAAGCAGTAAGTACCAGATCGAAGAACACTAGAGCATTTTGTCACAGTTTTTGGCTACATATTTATGGGGTATTACCGAAGAATAAGAAAAACTGTTATAGAAACTTATGTGCTGAAAAACTTTCTGTAATTGTATTAAGAAGATGGAAAAAAAAACTATACAAAACATGATATTTTTCTGCATGTTTGGCTCTGGATAAATACACAGAGCCGTTACTGTAATGTCCTCAAACAGAAAAAAAAAATAACGTTTTAGATTGATGAGGTGCAAAGTGGACTAATCATAGCACGAGTTCGCCAAGTAAAAGACCGTTTTGTTCTGCCCGCCTCGTCGGCTAATTATCCCTAGTTTACGATATCTCACTAAACCGTTGAACAGTGTAGAACTGATGCCACTTTATTTTTTCTCACCATAAAATATAAAACAACACAATAAAACTGTATGTGCCTAATTGTAGTGTTTTTCCTATCCTGACAAATTTGAATAGCATCTGTTCTTAAATTGCTATCTACTGACGCTGACAGAGTGCACTCTAGGTCACCCATACGTATGTGTACTTAAGCAGCAGGTGTGTTATTCCTGACTGTTGATTGGCCAACCTTTTTTTTTCTTCTCTAAAATTTGGAAATGAACCAGCGTTCGGCTGAAAATCTCCTAAATAAAGGAAATCAGTCAATCTATTCTCTAAAATTTAGTTCAGATTTCTTTGTTAGAACTATTTTTCTACATTTTGCTTGAACCTACCCGATCCTGTAAACAAACTATTATTCTTCTACGCCAATAAGACTATAATATTTAATTCTATTTAGAATAAACTTACTTTAGGACTAGAAGGAAGTATTTGACACTTTGTGAGGAAGAAGCTATAATATGTGCTCATAACGACTAAAGAAGGCAAGAACTGTGCATCGCATTAATACATTCTAAAGAATAAGCTAAGCCGATTTTATCATTGCATCCGAAATATTCCTGTGATTCCTGACAGCAGGACTACTACCGTCGTACCTACTAATTTGTCGTGAGATGACAAAACATCGTAAACGTTCGTCATGGTCAATTTCTACTTTTTGCCATATTCGAGTTCTGCCCCCTGAAAGACACCCAAAAACACTCCTCACATGAACGAAATTTAATTTGGAAGCATGCGGGCAAAGTGACGTAGCCCATACATTTTCGGGGAAACTGTGAAAAATGTTCACTGGTTTTACTCAAAAGTCACGTTCACCAGATTAGTGCTGACAAATAAAATGCTTTTGACGTAGAATTACGTCTTTCGGCAACATATTGGGGGTGCATTTTCAAAAAACCAAAATCGACCGCGTTACGAAAACTGGTCAGGTTTCGATCACTTATAACTCTGTCAATAGCGGATGGATTTTAATTCTAAACAAGCCAATCGATAAGAAATTTTTCTACGAATCTGCTTAAATAAACACTTTATCAATTTTCAGTAGGTCACTATTGAAAATTACCCAAATGTCCAACTGTTGCAATGGTGATCAAAATTATCACCGATTGCCAGCAAAAAAGTGGTTTCCCTATCACAGTCGCCGAATATTGATACCGACCACGTAATCCTACGTTAAATCTACGGTCGTGTCTTGGATACAACCTCTTACTTTTTTTCTTTATCCCCATAGGATTACAATGATCGGGGCTCATGTTAGAACATTTTAAAGTGACTATGCCGGACGGATTAGTCTGTGGTGACCAAATAAACACCGAAATCAGCTCACATAGACTTCTTGTTTGTTTTTTGAGAATCGTATATGTTCTTGTCAATGTCAGTATTGGTTTTAGCATCCGTGGAAGTATTTTTCGCTGTGTGGGTGTAAGTGTGTTTTCACAAAATATTTATATTTCTTTCTCATCTCCAATTTTTAACTGGGTTCAAGAATAATTAACTTTAAAAAATTGTAGTAAAAGTTTATAACATAACATGTCTAACTTACTATCCACATTTGTTGACTAATACCAAAATATAATTTCTAATTTTATGACTATAAGCTCAAAATAGCAGCCTGTAATTCCGAACCAGAATCCATCTCCAACTCAATGTCTTTTGTGGATTCGTAGAAGTAAAGTTGTGCTAAAAGTTAAATAGTTACCTAAATCATTCCTAACAGGAACCGGACCACTGATCAAAACCAAAACTACAACCCTGAACAACATATCGGTATTTTCCTAGGTGAACACTCTGCATCCTTCTTGCTACTGATTCTGTTCAATTCTTAGGTATCCAAATTATTGTTATTCGTAAATGTATTACTGAATATATGGCTGAATTACATATTATTAAATAACTATGATTTCCGATAGTTACAGGAAAAAATAAAATAAAATATTGACTACAGACAAAACATGACTAGAAATATCTCAAAAAGATATTCTCACAAATATTTTACGCACCCATTCTTCATGATAAACATTTGTCTACCTATCTTTCTTTTAGGCCTATGAATATGCGTTAACTTCGAAACTTCTAACCAATCTTGGAAATCTATCAGATCACAAAAAACCAAAAACTTAAAACATTTTAAAGGTAGTTACAAGTAAAGTCAACTGAGAGCTTATAAATAAAAACAACAAAAAATACTGATTATTTTACGCGAAAACGAGCTAGTAATATAACCGGTTGGAAACTAACGATTTAAAATTGGCTTACTACTAGACTAGCCTATTGGTCCCAAGCAAATCGATTAACGTACCCCATTCTAGTCGAAATTCTAGTCCTATACAATGTTTGTTTTGATTCGCTATGAAAGTTTGACAGATAAAATGAGGGGTTCGTGGATTTTCCTATGTTTCGAGGGGTGCATCGATTACCTTGGGACCGAAGAGAGTACGAGAGCTGAGCCAAAAAGTTGAGCACGTTTCATCGGGACCTTCTGGTCTTAGAGTTACCTCTATGGTAATATTGAGTCTCTTATCATTTTTTTTTTCCTTCGGTTTGTTTTTTCCGTCGATCTTGTTTTCCGTGCTGAGCACCAATGCTACCGACGTGCCAGGAAGGCAGCTCCCACACCTGGACCCTACCTATCGACCCATCAACTCATGAACCGGGGACCAACGGCTTTACTTCCCATCCGAAGGAATGCGTGATCAGAGATGTTATGCCTCAGAACATCCCGGCGGCGCCGACTGGTATTGAACCCAGGCCTGCTGGGGTGAGAGGCAATCACGCTTACCACTACACCACCGGCGCCGTTACAGTCTCTTATCATATGCTAATTGACGGTAACAACAATAATATGCTAAAATTTATTTATTTATTTGTTAACATTAACAGATTCGATATGGTGGTCCCAATGATTGTTTAACTTAAAATTAAAATTAAAGCCATAAGTTAAAACTACAACACATTAAAACATGATCATTGACGATTTACAGTTCTATAGAAGAATGTAGAAAAACGTGTCCGAAGTGTTTGTCGTGGCAGGTGAAAATCGAATACTGATGAAACTCGGTTAAATACTTGCTGCTGTCCTCCTATTGCACCGTTGATTGCATAGTGTGTCCGACGTAGCGGCATTCTCAGCATAACATTGCTACGAAGCAGTCGGGGTTGGACGTTAATGTTTACTAACTCCAAGATGTGGTGCAATCAATGCTGCCATGTAACGTGTCCGCGACAAGCAGGGCTTTTGAAGTATCTCTTCTGGTGCGAAGAGGCTCCAATTCAATCAGCTGGCAGCGACTTTCATAGCTGGGCAAATGAAACGGGTCTCCTTCATGGTAACATTCTCAAAGCGTATCGCAGGTAGCGGCGTTGAACGGACTCGACTCTCTCAGTGCCATTGTTGTAGTTCGGACTCCAAACCACAAAACAATATTCTAGAATGTACCAGGGAGCAATACAAAGATTTGAGGCAATGGATGTTGGAGCAATTCTTAGCTGTTCTGAAGATAAAGCCTAATCGACGTACTTGTTGCTTGTATGTAGGTAAGTTGAGATCTTTTACACAGCTCACACGTTCAATAGTGGTGTCCCGGAGAGCATAGTGTAAAATAACTGTTTCTTTCTTTCGAGTAAGGGTGATGATTGAACACTTCGCAGGATTCACCGTCATTCGGTTCAAATTGCACCAGCAGATCCGTGAGTAGATTTTGAGATCGTCTGCATACGATAGTCGTGGACCTTCGATAACTAAATTCTCGTCATTAAAGTAAAGTAAGAAAATCTTTTAATTTTGGCGAACCTCTTAATCTCCCTTTATGAAGAGCTTTTAGAGTGTGTTGGTTTATTGCCTTTTAATTTAATTTTAATTTAACTCCACTGGTGTTGAGTACTTGGCACTGATGAAGTCTGCAAGTAGTAGACGAAATACGCGTATCTGTCAAAAGATAAGCAATTATAACGGAATTAAAAGGCAATAAATCAACACACTCAAAAAGCTCTTCATAAAGTACGAAGATCAACGGTCCCAGATGACTTCATTGAGGTATACCTGACGTAGCTGCTAGCGTAGCGGACTGGCAGCCACCATAGGTTATCGCCAACTGCCGATCGGCGAGATATGAGCGAAACCATCTCAAGAGATTTCCGCTAACCCCTAACTAATTTGGCGATCGCGATGGCGTGATTTATCTTATCGAAGGCAGCAGACAAGTCAGTATAGATGACGGCTCTTTGTGACCTTTCAACCATACTTTGCGTGATGTACGATGTCAGACACAGTAGATTCGTGGTAGTAGATCGACCGGAGGTGAAGCCATGTTGATCTTCGCTTGATGGAAAAATGCCACACGAGTTGGACAATCGGAACAGATGTTGTAGCCGTGACAGTAAGTTGGCAATATTGTTGCGTGCTCTCAACTTAGTGTTCTAGATGCACTTCCCCAGTTATTAATTGAAAGCTTTCGATGCCTGTACCATTTTTGCATTGGTTTAATTGTGTGGCAAGTCCAATCATATACATCTATGCCCAAGAAAATCGAGAAAATTTCCAACCCGAAAAATTCCTAGACCGGACCGGGAATTGAACCCAGCCACCTCCAACGATCTTGCTTTGTAGCTGCGCCCAGGCATGGAAAATCATTTGCATTCATTTCGTGCATTAATTTACATTCATTTGCCTCTAACTGTTTTCTTGAACAGCATTCCGCAAATTGATGTATAGAGCTTTTGTAGGTTTTCTTATTAGCTACAACTTTTGTTAGTTAGTCAAATTCGTAACTCTTATGCACGACGAACCAGTGCGAACAGAAGTCACTATTGTTTTACAGTGAATGTATTTTACATTCACTGAAAAACAGTAACCAGTTCTGCCCGCTCTAGTTCGTGATGCATAAGAGATACAGATTTGAGTTATGAGCAAAAGTTGTAGCTAATAACAAAACCTACAAAAGCTCTATATATCATTTTGCGGAATGCTGTTGATGAAAAAAGTTAGAGGCAAATGAATGTAAATGAATCTATGAAATGAATGCAAATGATTTTCCATGCCTGGCTGCGCCTTTACCGATTGAGCTAAGGGAGGCCCGTTGGTTATGTGGTGTTTACATCTGTTTCGCAATTTTTCTTGTCAGCTGATTTCTTTCTAACACAAATTTGTTACCACATCAAGTTGATGTGATTTTTAAAGGCAAGTTCTGTACTCTCAACATTGGTCATAAAAATCCGATATTGATGCCTAAATTTCAAGTGAATTTAGTGACCATTTGGTGAAAAAATTTACTGACTTGAAAACAGTGACCTAGCCACTAAAAAGTTCTCGAGATGGTGTCCATTAAGCTGGGATGTGATAAAGATCTACAGTCACAAAATATGCATCCTTTTTTGATTTCCGTTAACGATATATTCCTTCCATAATAATGTTCATACTTTACATGGCTGTATATCCGATATGTTACTACCTTTACTTTGTCCACTATCGGTACAACAAGTGGCTGTTGTCTGGTACAATAGAACCACCAAGGAGTAAACAGCAATGTGGAGTGGAGAAACAGTTTTAGTGATTAAATTGTGATGAAGAGATTCACACACGTATAGTCGGCATTTTTATCACACATCGATTAGTAGAGCTGGTTTTGCAGTTTTCGTGAGAGCAATAATTTTTAACGATTAACAAGCAATATTGTCATGTTTTTTTTTGTCTGTGTCGAATAGTATTTAAATACCAACTATTGCTAAATATGATCTTCAAACATTCGAATAGTGAATCTCAGTGGTTATTAGTATAGTGTAGTAAGATTCGATTCTGTCAATAATACGAATATATAGTGCAGAAGGGATTGTTTAAGGTAATACTTAGTAATTGTAGCAAGAGATAATTACAAATAATATTTTTATGATCTGATAACGAAAACAAACAAATGAATTCTCTTTTAGGAGCAAATTCTTGAAGTACACATTTAGAAGTAAAAACTGAAAACAATTATTTACACCACTTTTCTTTGAAGAAGTTTAATTTCAGGTGCAATGGCCAGCAAAAGAGAAGTTTCTACACGATATATTTTTATACTTGCCTAAAAGTACTGCAGTGTACATTATCATTACGACGGTTCGCTATAGCATTCGGGCGTTCCACACCCTTTTACTTCTTGGCCAGATATTGGAAATTTTTGTGCAACTGTGGCTTGATGTCGTACACCAGCTTGAGTATTTCATTGATCAGAGCCGCCTTGTTGGTGGAGATCGAACGGTTCATTTCCTCAATCTTCAAGACAGTGTCGGCATCGATTTTGGCAGCGACACCCTCGCGGCTACCCATGTGCTGTAACGAAAAGGAACAGATACACTCTTTAGAGAAACGAATCATAAAGTTGATATGAACACAGAGCATAAGGCAAATTTAGCTGCTATTCACAATGCGCAGCCAATTTAAGCCATCATTGTGCATTCAATCAACGTATCGCCAACTTCTATTGAAGGTCAGTAATCGAAACACTGGAAGTCGCTTACCTTCGCTTCGAACTCTTTGAACTGTCTCTCCCGTTCCGACCTGTACCGTTCGATCTCCTCTTGGGCTTCCTCCTTTGCTTGTTTTAGACGGCGCTGTTTCCCTTTAAAAAAAAAATCACATCTCTCAATCTACAATACATTGCTTCTTATCTAACAAGCTATAGAAAGTATTGTTCTGATAACTGTGGAGCTGACATTCTTGTTATTGATTTTTCATCTCGAGGAGTGCAGACATCCACAAGAGGAAAAATCTACTTACTCTTTCGTGCTTCGCCCACTTTTTCAGCTGCTCGCTTCTCTGCGGCCAACAGCTGCTGGATACCTTGAGTTTGGCTAGCCATTATACTTCCGAATACTTGGGACGACGCTAAGCTCGATATTAAATTACGTTTCAAGCAAGAACTGGGATTTAATTAGTCGAAAATTTCGTCTGCACAGAGAAAGGGACTTCCAAATCACTGATGTATGTTGATGACAGACCTTGAATGACAGCAAACGTGAGAGTGTACACTCAGGAGTTTTGAGTTACAGCACAGAAAGTCAAGGTCGCCAGTTCTGTTGAAAGTTGCAAGGCAGTGGAAAATATGCCAAACATTAAATGTAACTCCAATAATTTTATTCCGTATTATTGGTTATTATTTATTTTTAGAAGTTTCAATTCTACCGATAAAACATGAGAACTTCTATTGTTAGACATATATTTTCTAAAATAACCGATAGAAAATTCACAAAAATCAACTCGATTGTTTGAATCGTTTGAATAATTGATCGTTTGGCAACCCTGCGGTGAGTGGTTTTCTGTTATGCAGTTGCAGAAAATAATTGCACTCGATATAATTTCAAGCTAATCAATCAAAGTCACTCAGTATCTTTCTGTTTTATGAACAGCTGAACACTGAAGCCGGAATCGCTGATACAAAAACGGAGTTCGGGATCTTATTTGTTGAAATTTGTGTTAATTTGTGAATTTTTAGTTATTTTCTTAGTTCAGGTGCCTAATTTTAGTAAGGTGCTCATCAATGTTGGAAGCGTAAGTAAATAAAACCTTGTTAACTTCAGTTGGAGATTCATACATAAGATGTTCTAGAAAGGATCCTCTAATCTCGTGTTTTGTGAATAACTTCAACAGTGAATGATAAATTTGTATTATATGTAATAAATGAAATATCCTTCAAGCTTTAAGTTTCTAAGGCTCTGAACCATTTGGTGGATTATTTTAACTTTTGGTTAAAATTTGACAGATGGAAAGTTATCGATTAACCCTGCTATCCGAGCGTGGTTATTTCTGACAGACAAGAAGTTAAATTTTGACGACCGTGGCTCGAAAACCGGTCGATCGACAGCACGGGGATTTTCGAACATAAGAAATAACTTTCGAAATGTCACTTTTAACTACGAGTTAAATTTAACTCGGCAAATGGTTCACAGCCTAAAGGAATAGTAAAAAGTGATTTATACGTTTTCGGTTATTTTTGACGGTTATGTTTTAAAAACAAACACTGAACAAAAAAGGCTTCTTACATTCAAAGACGAAATAGTATACAAAAACCACAATAACTCGTCGATGCGAGCCACCAACATATTATATTTACAAGAATCAAACCTCAAGTAATCATGGCTTTTGATCTTCGAAAACAAAATACATAAAAAAAGATAAAATAAAAAAAAATTATATAATAAATTGTAAAATAATTAAACCGATTCAGTAAATTAAAGTTCTTTGGTCTTGAGGGAAGTTCACCGCTCCGAAAAAAAATAATTACGTTTTGATTATTCTAAAAATATTGGAAAAAGGTACCTATCAACAATCTAAAAAAATCACATTTTTTTTCTAATTTGTCAAAGAAAGTTCACGTGCAAAAACATTTTTTTATAAATCATTGAAATTTCGGACGATTCAAATTTCGGACACTTTCATTTTTAATTAAATATTACATCCAGTTAGAAACAAAGTAATAATGTTAGATGATCGTGGAGGTTTTTTTTTTTTTTAATTCTTTATTTAAGAGATTTTTAGCCTTAGGCTAGTTCATCTCTAAGATCGTGAAGGGCACTAGTCAAAAAAATTTAAAATTTACAAGACATGTGGATCATATTCGACCGAGATAATCAACTTTTAAAAGTGTCCGAAATTCGAGTTTAGTGTCCGAAATTTGAATCGGCACGGTACCTAGCATAAAGTTAAACTGAAAAAAAAACCACAAAACATCGACTTTTCGGTTTTGCTGAGAGTCCAATTTTTTTTTTCATGGTGAGATAGAAAAAATATTCTTACATGTTAATTTTCTCCGGAATCTAACGAAAAAATTGATATTCTTGGATTTTTGATCAATTTTCCCAATTTTTTTAGAAAAATAAAAACGTTCCGAAAATATTTTTATATTTTCGGCCGGTAAACTTCCCTTTAAAAAGAGACGAGTATTTTTATGTTACAGTACAGTGAAATGTGTTGTCTCTATACAACATAATTTATTGTATTTAGGGGTAAGAGGGGCATAGTGAGCATCCCGTGCACCAGCTTGGACTTCCGGCCGTTCGGAACAAATTGGTTGGTGGTAGGATCAATATCATAATGATATTGAACCTACTACCAGTTGATTTATTTTCAAGCAGCTGGAGATCCAGAGCCAAACTGCGGGTTGCTCATTATGCCCCTCCTCCCCCTACATAAAATCGTATTGTCCCAACGATAAAATAATTATGGAATGTATTGTTTCCGCTATAGAATCTATGGTAAATGGGAAAATTTACAATAGAACAAGGGGGTTGTGATGTATCTTAACCATAAGAAAAACCACTTTTTTCCCGAAAAAACTTGAGCCATTGATGAAAATTCTTACTATATGGGCCGTATTGTACATCTATTGTAATAACAATATGCTACCATTTATTGTACAATATACGGCAATAAGATCGATTGTCGGCAATAGATTTTATTGTAATTGTATTTTATTTTATGGTAATTTTTGGTTTATTTGCCTTGTTATTTAAAATAGGGCGGGCGAGCCAGTACTAGAGGAACTAAGAAATTTTATTCATTAAAAAATAAATGAACGTTCTACATACATTTTTTTTTTTATGCCATCATTTTAATTTTATAAAAAAAAACCCTGGTCATAGAAGTTTCATAGCACTATAAACCGTCTGTTTTTTATGCTATAGCTTCAGACTAGGCAGTTGTAAAGTGTTATCTAAATAATGTTCTTGTTGATAATTGTTATAACATGGTAACTAGGCACGTAATCTGAATATCGTAGCATTTGACATCTTCAACATCTGCATCATCATAAAAAGGAATTTTCTGTTCTGTTCCATGTTCTATACGTTGACAAACATTATTTCTAACGACAAGTTTGCCACCTCCGATTTTTTGCTAGACATTCGCAATGAAACGAGCTCAACCTTCTTTTTTGCATGCTAGCGAAAACAGCGTAGATCGCAGAATGCGTCCCCGGCCAAACATACGCGTTAACTTGGAAAGGTTAATGTCGAACGATAGCTCGTCTTCCCGTTCGTCATCACAGTCCCATAGGAGCAGTTCACCTATACCACCGGAAAGTGAGCCGGAACCCGTCAAGGATTCTGATACTGTTAAGGTTTGTCTTCGGTTGAGGCCACACCTGCGGAATAATCCCTACAAGACGGCATTCAAGATTCACGAGAATACCCTCCTGGCCAGAGGCGTTGATGAGAATTCTACCGAGCGCCAGTACACGTTCAGCGAAATCTTCGACGAAGAAGTTTCTCAAGCAGATGTCTATGATAGATGTATTAAACCGTCGATAAGAAATGTTTCAGGAGAACGAGGCGCTACATTCCTAACTTACGGAACATCTGGATCGGGTAAAACATATACCCTTCTTGGAAACAATGCTAGTCCTGGAATTGTGCCAAGGGCCATCGAGCAGGTCTATGTAGAATATGCCAATAACATTTCAACTAATCCTAGCCTAAAAATCGATAAAACCGCGGTCAGTTTCCTTGACGACGAATCCGTTTACAGAGAACTTAAGAAGGTGGAATCCATGAAGAAACTCCTGCAGGGCAATGAATCCACCCATTCGAGGATGAGGTCCATTATCCGAAAAGAACACGATTTCGAATTGAGCAAAGATCCTGATCTACGAGTTTTTATTTGGGTTTCCTTCGTTGAAATCTATAATGAGAACGTTTACGATCTGCTAGCGCAAGAATCGATTTTTGGCAAGAGAAAGCCCATGAAGATCCTCTCTAACGAAGGGAATGCGTACATCAAAGATCTGTCGTGTGTATTTGCTGGAAGCAGCGAAGATGCTTATAATATCCTACAATTTGGCCTACAGAGCGCAACTTATGGTTCAACCGATGTTAACAGCAATTCCAGTCGTTCGCACAGCATTTTCTTCATGACAATCGTGTCATATTCGTTAAGCACTCAACTGATAAACTACTCCGTCTATAAATTCTGTGACCTTGCTGGTTCAGAACGTCTCAAGAAAACCGGTACCTTTGGAGATCGCCTAAAAGAAGCACAAAAGATCAATACATCCTTGATGGTACTTGGACGTTGTTTGGAAACAGTACACAAAAATCAAAAATCCAAGAAACTTGCTGATTTGGTTCCCGTTAGGGATTCCAAACTCACCATGCTCATCCAGTCGGCTCTACTTGGAAAGGAAAAACTTTCAATGATCGTGAATCTTTACCCTACGGAAGAGTACTACGATGAAAACTTGAATGTCTTGAACTTTTCGTCCATCGCCAAACAAATTGTACTCCAGAGAAAGCCAACTCAGAGAAGGGACAGAACCACGCGTTATTCGTTCTTCTTGGCTCAGGCGACAAGCAGTCCATCGGCCCGCATCGATACCAATCGGCTTATGTTGGAAAATGAAAGGTATATGTATCCCTTGTTTTTTAAAGTGAACTGATTGAGCTAACCACCCTTTTCGCCCATAACAGGTTGAAGCAGGAGCTGGCTTGTGAATCTAATGTCTACCGAGAGCAGCTAGCGGAAAGGGATCTAGAAATCCAACTGTTGAAGCGAGACATTCTTGCTCAGGAACTGCAGCTACGCAACGAACTGACGGACGACTTTGAATCGTACTGCGTCCAACGGGAAGCCACCTTCCAAACCCGGCTAAAGCAGACCCGAGAAGCTGCTATCCGTCCATACGAGCAGCAGGTAGGGTGTTACGGCAGTATGCTTATAAACAATATGTTTCATTATATTCGACTCTTTTTTTCAGATTACTCATTTAAATGCCAAGATCGAACACCTGCGAAACATCATCAATGATATGGAGTGTGAAGAGGATGAATATGAGAAAAAGCTCAAAGTTTATGAAACAGAGCTTAACAAGTATCGTGTAAAAGAGAAGCGGGATAGAAGATTATCATTATAAGTAGTAGTAGTACCATATGATTTTTCATTTCAACATTTTGTACGGTATAATTTATTATCCCATCAATCTTACCTTTCCCAATGATTCACATCACTGGGTAGTAACTCTTTAACACACATGTAGGCATATCTTTTTACTGTTGTGGTTTGTTTAACTTAACCGAATAAAGAGTTACTTATAATCTACTGGAAATCGGATACATTTCTGCATGACTACGAAAGAAGCAGCCTTCACGAAAAAAAAAATTACTGCCCTCTTGCCATATAGAAGGGACATTGTGGTACTCCTTGATTGAAATGTATTCAATTATCGTGAAAGACCGATATGTTCATCTTACTGTGGACGGCTTGTACCCAGTTCACTCCGGTGGAACAAAAAAAGGAATGTCTTGAACTTATTTTATTTTATTCACATCAACAAGCTCAATGTCCCCATCGGTGGTAGTAAATGTCATAGAAATTAATAGGGCGAAAAATGTCATAACATTTTTCTCTCGGCGTTTCCACTTTTGCTGTTTTTCATTTAACGAAATTTCAAGTTTCTTTCAGGGAATTCACCAAATTTTTATTTTGGAAAACTTTAAACGATCCGAACAATGATCTTTAAAGGAAATCAGCTATAATCAATCTACTATCAGAGATAATCATTGTTAGCGACGCGATCGATTTACACGTGCGAAGGAACGCTATCGCTGCTAACAATAATTTTATTGGTCGGGTGAAGAATCGAAGATGGAAATCTTGCTATTTTCAATTTTATTGAAATTCCCGCAAGACTCAAAGCTAGTTGCCTAACCAGGGTGAGCGCCTATACTTATTTAGTGGAGTGATTCTCAATCAATAGAAAATATAGTTTTTAGCTCAGAAATACCTTTGAGATGGCAAGTCGGATATCAAAATAAAATCAAAATGATATCAAATTATGTTTTTGTAATCATATTGCTAACATACTTCGATATACTATTTTTTTAATTTCAGTTTAGTTTATATTTTGATATATTTTTGATATTTCTAAAAAATATAATTAAAAACAAAATTTGATATTTTATAAAAAGAGCTTCCACATTTATCACTGAAATCTACATGTTGTTATTTTTTCTTAAGGCCTGTATAGAGATCGGAGCGAAGCGAAAATCTCATACAAAATACTACATTTTTCACCTGCGTCAAAAACGCAATTGCCAAATATTTCGCTTCGCTTTGGATCCAGCGAAATCTAATTTTGTGGATCGTATTGGCGTCTTGCAGTGAAACTTTTCCAAGATTTCGCCACCTACATTTCGAAGTGAGAACTACTAGAAGGAGGATAGTTTCCAAATTCTCCAAGTAAAACAGACGATTTTTGGGGCAAATCGGTCCATAAAGAAAAACTAATAATTTCCGGTGGATACTTTTGCTTGAATCGTGTAAGAAAACGTGTTTGCAAACTAACTGTTATTATTTCGGTATGGATCGGAGATGTTTTCATGGAAAATTATGCATAACAAGTTTGCACCCACAGGGAGAGGTTACCTCCTGCGCAGCTGCATTTTTCGGAAAATGGTGAATATGTGCGATTTCCACTAGGATAAAAGTGGAAATTAAGTGAATTTACTTAGGAAAGATTGTATCATGCTGGTGATAATGAAAATGGTTGTATAGGACGCCAATATTCGATAAATGTTCATTTTAGCCTTTTTTAGGTAAACAGATTGATACTCACAATTTTCGACGGAAAACGCAACGGAACTTGATTTACTCAACACGCACCATACTATAAAATGGTGCTAGATGGTCTTCAAAGTGATAACAAGATGACAAATCATCTTTATTTTGAGTAATTGAGTAATTTACTTCTGTTTACCATCATATTTACGATGCAGCATTGATGGAGCCGTGAAATGAAATGAATATATCTTATGAAAGTTCACCTGGAAAAGTCAAAGATGCACATCAGTCTGATCGTAAAAACGTTTTCTTCTTCAATTCGAATGTTATATTGGAAGGATTTCACGTAGGCTTGATGAAAATTATGATTTAATGCTAATTTTCACGAATTTTATATGCAGTCTGTCAACATTATCATCATCATGCAGTGGCGACATCTGCGTTGAGCTTTTGCGGCAATCTTCCAATCTTTTTCGCTAACGTTTATTTTTTTTTTCGCGCATGCAGCGCTAGCGAAAAGAGCATCAGCTAAGCGAAAAATTGACGTTTCGAGAAAGAGCGTATCTGTCAGATTTTCCCTTCACCGGAGGTGTAAACTGATCGATTTCGTTTCACATGAACTGTAAACTGCGAAAAAAGGAAACTCGAAAATGTTTCACAAACATTTTTTCACAACCTTTTTCGCTAGCGAAATTTCATGATTTTTCGCGTGCTTCAATTTTCGTTTCGCTTCGATCTGTATACTAGGCTATACTCAGAGATGCCAGGCTTATTTATAAAAAAATCTGGCAAAACCCGAAAAAAATGTCTGGCGAAAATCTGGCACAGCAAATTAACATAGGAAGCTGCCAGATTTCTCAAAAAATATGTTTTGATGGCAGAGCAAAAATTTCTCTGGCTGTGCCAGATAAATCTGGCAACCTGGCAACGCTGTGTATACTAGGCTTTACGAGTCAATCAGCATAGTCCTCTCCAGCTGGGTTGGTATTGGTGCGAGTTGAGTGTGTTAGTGAGATGAATTTTTTTGTTAGCTGTGAGAATTTTTTTGTTTGCTGTAAGAACTGTCCGAGGGGGGCGACACATCTAAATCTCAAGTTTAGATGCTCAACAAATCTCACACTAGCGAATCAATCTTCGAACAATCTTCTTTCATTTGTCGCATCTACTTGCATCGCTCATCAATTTTTTGCAGGAAATCTTCAGAAACGTCATAAATCTTCTTTCTATCTACTCAGCGTGCGCGCAACTAGCCACAGCAAAACACAATCTTTTTTGCATCGTAGATAGAGTCGTCCCCCTCGGAACTGTCATTCTAATTTCTAAAGTAAAAATAAACAACAAAACGAAAACAAACCCTACGCTTGCACGGTAACAGTCAAGTAACTTTTTGTGAGTAAAGGTTTACCCATTGTTGATAAAGGTGGTTTTACTCATAAATGAGTAAATTATTTTAACAACAATGAGTTTCTGCTAACAGTAGCTAACAGTTACTAGGTAATTGGCATAATGAATAACTCATTAATTAGTGGTGCCGCTCTTATTTACAATGGGTTCACTTTTACTCATAAATGGAAGTTTGATTCTTACCGTGCACATGACAGTATACCCGCATAAACGCGAACCATCACATGACCTTACCGATAATGGTTATAAATTGTTTATAATCCCTGCTAAACTTCAACTGAAATGGTTATGGAACTTTACATGAACGTTTGTGTGATAAAGTTTTAACCTTATGTATTATGGTTTTTTGGAAGCGGACCTTACAAATAATGGGTTGTTAAGAACCATTACCATTCCAAATTCTTGTTTTCTCCATACATTTTCGGAAAGAGAACTATATTAGAACGTTTTTACTTATGGTTTGAGAACATTAATGGTTATGGTTATGGTAGTCAGTAAGGTCCATTAATGATTTTGTATTATCGCTCAACTTTACGTGAAATATATCGTGAATTGGTAATCAGTAATTTACAGGCAACCAATTCGCGATATATTCCACATAAAGTAGATCGATGTTACAAAACCATTCATGGACCTTACTGGTTACCATAACCATTACCATTAATGTTCTCAAACCATAAGTTAAAAGGTTTTAGTAAAGTTTTCTTTGCGAAAATGTATGGAGAAAACAAGAATATTGAATGGTAATGGTTCTTAATAACCCATTATTTGTAAGGTCCACTTCCAAAAAACTATAATACTTAAGGTTAAAACTTTATCATTAAACGTTCATGTAAAGTTCCATAACCATTTCAGTTGAAGTTTAGCAGGGATTATAAACAATTTTAACCATTTTAGGTAAGGTCAATTTATGGTTCGCGCTTATGCGGGTACGCTAGTGTGTGTAAAATTTTGTTATTAGTGTAGTGTTCGTGACATCCTGCTTGGAGAACTCAATGCTTGCTATTTTCTTTATATGAACACAAAGACAATTCAAGCTGAACATTGCATTAGGCCCTAAGTAACATTGATCGATTCCCTTCGTCGACATTCTCATTCGTTTTTTTTTCTTGATTTGTTTTCCGTCGATCTTGTTTTTCGCGTGCTGAGCACCAATGCTACCGACGCCAGGGAGGCAGCTCCTACACCTGGACCCTACCTATCGATCCATCAACTCATGAACCGGGGACCAACGGCTTTACTTCCCTTATGCCTCAGAACATCCCGGCGGCGCCGACTGGGATTGAACCCAGCCCTGCTGGGGTGAGAGGTAATCACGCTTACCACTACACCACCGGCTCCACTCATTCTCATTCGTTAATAACTTGAGTACAAAACCGTTTCTTGTTGTGTTTGTCGTATTGGATGCAAGATAAAAGCTTCTTTTACAGATCTGTGTGCTGAGAATACCTGGGAATGTCTTTACATGGCCGTGGAGATACAAAGAGAAAGTCGACGAAGAGAATCTTCCAATGTTACTTAGGACCTAATGCGATGCTCAGCTTGAATTATGAATTGTACAGTTATATTTTACAATATTTATTGATATTAATCTACCTGCGAATTCAATTTACTAATCGATATAAGATAGATATCGATAGAACTGATTGAAATATACATTTGTTTATATTTTGAATAAATGAAAACTTATTGATAACATTTTTTAATTTTGAATCTTGGTATCAACCAATAGATTTCAAAACATTCAGATTACTAAATTTGATACATGATATCAAAATAATAACTAATTTAGTTTTTTTTTTTTTTTTTTTTTTTGTTTTCCTACCATAGTTATAATAACATATTGATTACTTATTTTGTTAACAATTAACGAAATTACTGATATCAAAACGCATACATGGATTTGTTATCAAGAAAACATGATTTGTTATCTTTTTGATATCCTTCATATACCATTTAGATCTTATTTTTGTTATGGTTACGAGTTAACGACCACACAGTAACTAGTCTACTAGTCTTAGAGTTACCTCTATGGTAGTAGCACAAACGAAGTGACAGACGACTAACTGGCGAAGAAATCCATTTAAATAATGTGGTTCACTGTAATCGAATTTTCTTGGAAGCTT